AAAATGATGCATAAGCTCATGAAAGAACAAATAAAATCTCACATGCTCCATGAGTTACCCACCAAACATCTCAAAAATTCTTTAAGGGAATTTCACCAAATACCTTATACGCAAAGTTTGTAAAGCCATGTAAAACAAGCTATCATAAGAGTCATGGTTCACACTTAAATCTCAACTAAAATTCTCTAAACAACTTACCAAAATATGCTCATGATCAACATGATAATTATTTCATCAAAAGACATAGGCCTAAGGGCCAAAAGCACAACTCAAAGCAATCTCATTCTCAGATTTTTATAGAATAAGAAGAATGGAAGAGGATGAGGGGAAGAAGACAAGGTTGAGGAGAAGGAATGGAAGTATGGAGACAAAGAGAAAGAAAAAAAAAAGGAAAATACTCACCTGCAGCTTGGAGGAGGTTGATCGGCCAAGAGAGGGCGAGCGACGGGCTTGGCTAGTTCACGCGAAAGGGAGTCCGATCCCTGAGATCAAACTTAGCCTGCACACACAAGAGAAAGGGAGCGTCGGGTTTGGGGCTTCGCGAACCGAGGGCGTCGGGCTGGAGCTTCGCGAACACAAGGAGGCCGGCGTCGGGCTGGGGTCGCGCGAACGGGGGGATCGGACGGTGTCTGGCTAGTTCCGGCCTGGTATCGTGCGAGCCGAAGAAGACCAGAGGGAGAAGGGTTCGGGCGTGTCTTTGGACCAAGAAGGTTGAGAGGAAGGGAGTTCTGGAGATCGAGAGAAAAAAAAAAGGCGTCAGAGAGAATCGAGCCAGGTAGAAGGCGTGAGAGAGGGAGAAGAAGAGAGTCCCCCAGCATGAGAGCCTTCGGTCCAGGTAAATCAAACTCGTCACTAGAAAAGGAAGCCCGCCCTTTTTCGTCGTCGTGCTCCAGCTTCCGAAAATCTCCTAAAACAGCTTCGCTCACTGCTCGATGCCTGCTCGAATCACAGAAAGCTTCTGAATAGCGGGATTTCGGCCGAAACGATGATTTCGCTCGATCGTGGCCGTCGACGCAATTTCCGGATTAAGGAAGTAAATTCAAATAACTTGAAAAGTCAAGTGGCTCTGGATGTGATTAAATTGAGCTAATCCAGTCTAATTCAGTTAAATCGGATTAAGCTCGAGTCCAAAATTTGAGTCAATTCGAGTCGGTTCGGGTTCGAGCCGGCTCGACGAATTCAATTGTATGAAATCAAGTTTAAGAATTAACATTTATTTAAATTAAATCGAACTCGAAGCAACCAAAATAAAATAAACCGATCTAATCGAATCATAGTCGAATCTAATCCGGCTCGAGTCGAGTCGATTTGAGCTCGAATCTGGCCTGACGGGGTTCGATTAAGTCGATCAAAAGGGCTCGAGCACATTCGAGCCAAAATCGAGGTCAACAATGAGGTGTTGCCACTTCAACTTAATTTGTGAGTTGAGAGGCATAGATAAATCCACCATTTTTTTTACTTATCATAGTTTATTTTTTAAGGGATTCATGTCATGATTATTCTACAAGTTTTACGCTGGTTGTCGACTACCTAACGCAACCATCCACTTTTCTCATTCAGGACTTGGGACCTGGCAACGGCAGTGTGCGATAAAATGGTCCCCCTCAAACTTAAGGGAAAATTCTATAAGATGGTGGTGAGACTTGCAATGCTTTATGGTGTCGAATGTTGGCCATTAAAAGATAAGCATAATACTAAGCTAAGTGTTGCAGAGATAAGGATGCTTAGGTGGATGAGTGGCCTTACCCTTAGAGATAGGATACGAAATGAGGATATACGTGAAACGGTTGGAGTAGATCAAGTGCAAGAAGATAAGATTAAAGAGAGTCGCCTTAGATGGTTTGGTCACATTAAACGAAGGCCTTCCGATGACCCGGTTAGGAAAGTTGAGATATTAGGTTTGACTTATGTTAAAAAAGGTAGAGGTAGACCTAAAAAGACATGGTTAGAAAATATTAGAAATTATCTTTCTTTATCAGATTTAAATGAGAATTTGACTTTTAACTGGACACACTGATGAAAAAGGAATCATGTAGCCGACCCCACATAGTGGGACAAATGCTTGATGTTGTTGTTGTTGTTGTATCATAGTTTATTCATTAGAGTATTACTCAATAACATGTCAAAGATGATGTCGAATGAAATCTCCAAAGAGACTAATAGCACCTTGATTGTGATGAAATAATTGTATCATGTTTCTCAAATCAATGGCAAAAATGGTCTATATATAACCAACACTAACCTTCAAAGTCATTATTATTCCTATACTACGTGTGAAAGTCTAATTGTGAATTTTATGTGGAATTCAAGTTTCATTTGAAAGTCAAAATAACAGAAAATTCATATGTATAATAAGTCTTAGAAAATTAATTATGAACAAAATTGTCTTAATTATATAGAAAACTGACGATACGATGTAGTTTCCCAACTATAATCACACCTAACTCATTTATATGAAAAGTATTTTAAGGTTCTAGTAAGGGTTGCCCCCTCCTTGGCTTATTTCTCATAGAGCTGATACATTAGTGAAAAATAAAGAGAATGAGGTGTCTGATTATACTCATGCCTAGGATGTTAGCATGAACATCTATTTAAGGTTGTTAGATGGTTGCACCTAGTATCTACTTGTTTCATATAGAATTAACACATTAATAAATGAGAAAGAGATTACCCAATTATAATCATGCCCATGATATCAATTTTTTTTAAACAAAATATTAACCCTATAAAATGATAATAACACATCAAGGATAATTATTAAGAATTGTCAAATAAAAAAGTACAAAAAATGAGATAAATATATCATAATAGCCTTCCATACAAACTTATTATGAATACGAAAACTATAAAAAACACCCATTGGACCACTTTATTTGAAGCTTAAGAAATATAAAATGACATCTTTTTTAATATCCCATGTGATAAATAAGATTTAAAACCTTCAAATTAGAGGGATGTGAGGTGTTTATTAATAGGTGAATCATGATCGATTGTCATCCTTAGAGGTGAATCATTCTTTTAGATAATGAAGCTTTGCTCTCTCTTAGGCTTCTTTTGGGACTGTTTTTTTATTGTTTCTTAAAACAGAGTTTTAGTTTAAAAAAAAATTAATTTTTGTACTGAAACATCATTTTAAGAAGCAATAAAAAAGCCATTCTAAATGAAGCCTTAATATTTTTTCCTTGTTTTGTTTTTATACCTTTTTTTGATAGAAATTCCCTCATAAATTTCTTATCATCTATAATTCCACAGTGTGATTTGTATCACCATTTGCTTCTGCTAGTTGCCTTCTTCCCTTCCATTCTCTTTCCTCTCAATTGATTTGGTTGTAAGTTTATAGGATTTATGAATATTTTAAATGTATTATAAATTGAATATAGGACTTATTATGATTGATTAATTAGTTATAAAATAAATTTACTAATTTATTTTAGGAAAAAATTTGAGGTGGGATATCATGATGTAAGATTTATAAGAATGATCTTCAGATACTCTGGATTTGCACGAATATTAATTCAATTCAGGATATCATATAGAACAGAGATTCAAGGATTTTAAAAATCATAAGGATGCATTTTGCATTAGGATATACAAACATAGTTTAGGCTTTATTTGAGATGATTTTCTTACTGTTTTAAAAAGCTTTTACTATTTTAAGAAACAGTAAAAAAGTTATCATAAATGGAGCCTTAATATTAAAAAATTAATCTTAAAATAAATCTGATAATTTTAAATTTCTTCTTAATAATTTATATAAATTTTTTTTTTTCGGGGTAGGCCACTTTTCCACTAGAACTACTGGATCTGCCCAGCAGTCTACAGTAGTGGCACAACGGTCATTTTAATCGCAATGCATACCTCTTGAGCTCTATCTTCGTCCTCAGGGCAAATTATTGGGTCAGGTGACCGAACGCAGAGATAGGTTCGGATAATAATAAAATATTATTTAAAATTAGCGCAACTAAAGCGCAACTAAAGCGCAACCAAAGCGCAACTAAAGCGCAAGTCAAAAAGCGCAACTAAAGCGCAACCAAAGCGCAACTAAAGCGCAACCAAAGCGCAACTAAAGCGCAACCAAAGCGCAACTAAAGCGCAAGTCAAAAAGCGCAACTAAAGCGCAAGGTGACGCGGCAAATTTTTATTGGTTGTCCGAACTTATCTTTTGGCTCCGGTCACCTGACCCAATAATTTGCCCGTCCTCAGGCACTCGACCGACGCGCTAAAAGCTAGCCAGTTGCCCGGGGGCCGGGGCCAGATGTCTGCGTTGTTCTCACCCTGACATTCGCGGGATCGACTGTTTCATGTCCATCTCTTAAATCCGCCATTTTTGTTACCTTCCGTCTTCCCCCTCTTCTTATTTCAATTTAAAACCTTTTTTTTAGATCTCTTTTCTCTTTTTGCCCCTCTTTACGAGTTGCCTCTTCTTCGGCGTGGATGCAGCTCCTTCTCGTGACGTGCATTTTAATCTGACGCTTTCCTCATTCGCTTTGCTTTAGAGCCCTACCACCCGGTCCCCATTTAGCTTTTTTTTTTTTTTTTCCTCTTATACATCTAGCTAATTCCCTAAGGTGCTTCGAGAAGCCCAATGGTGGTTTTGCTAATTGAACTTTGTCTACGGCCTTCGTGGATTCTTCATAGGTATGGCGGCTTACTTGCCTTTGCTCTGTCTAAATTTGGTAGTTTTTTGGAACTGAATGACGATTTCCAGTGCTTGGTGGCGGCAATTTATGTTTTTTGTTTTGTTTTGGGCTTTTAGCATCCCTAAATTATGAGCTTGGAGCAGCTGCTTTAAGTTTAGCTGTGATTCTTTCATTTGTCAGATGATTTTGTTGTTTTGAAATTATTCTTAATGGGATATTCCAGAAGCACGAAGAATTGCGATCTTTTGCATCTAAATCAAGCCACCAATTTGATCATTTTCTTGTTTATATATTTAATTCATTCTCCATGCTTCTATGCATTTTCAAAACTATTAAAGCCAATTCAATTGGTTAGCTTTATCAGGCTTTCACTTTTTTTTTTTCTTGTAGAATATGCAGTCTCGATTATAAATTTTATATCTTTCCACAGTGATGGTAACTTTGGCCTTCCTTTGCTTAGTTTTGGTTATTGAAGTTGTTTGCTTCAAAGAATTTAATTTAGTATCTGCTGTAATCTTTTGCCTAATATTTCAAACAACATTATACATTTTAGAGCCAAAATTGAAGACATTAAATTTGCAATGAATCTAACTTTCCGGCGCAATTTTTTTTATGGTTTTTTAATTTCTCTATAGAGTAAATCTTTGTTTTGAGAAGAAGCTAAACTCCATCCTATAACAAAACCAAAAGGATACAAATCAAAACTGATTTGTATCTTGCTTCTCCCTATTGTAACTGGCTTCAAGAGAATGCTAGTTGACCTTTCATGAATTGATTGACGTGAAGATCATGAAAATTGTTTAATGAAATATTGAGGATGTGCCCTCTGCATATGCAATCATCTTCTTGATTCTTTTTTAAATGGCTTTTACTCTTCAGAATCAGTTATTATTGTCTGAGAATGGTCTGGCAAATCAGTTTTGAAAATATGGATCTTTCATGCAGTCGATAAGAACATCATCCTATCCTTCCAATGGGAAAGTTTGCTTCATAATTTTTTTTTTTAATTTGATGAAATATTGATTCATTATTCTGAAAGAAGCCTTTAAATTTTCTTTGTTCATGAATACACCTTCAAATCAGCAGGATTTACGAGCAGATTGATTTTTCTATGATTTTAAGGCCAGCATATGCACTTTCTTAAGGTAATATTTGTCTCCGCTTTAATTGAGCTTGGTGAATGCAAAATGGACTAATCAATCCCGAGATAAAACTAAATCGCTTAAAACCTACAAACAATAATTTGGAGGTTTCACTTAAGAACTTGGCTTTGAATTTTAATTGAGAGATCTAAGAGTTTTGGGGATAAGAAGATTGTCAGTGTTGTTAACCAGTGGTGAAACTTTTGTTTTTATAGAATATGTATGGCCATTACTGTCCTTGCTGAAGAGATACCACCTTTTGTAAACTATGAACTTTTTTAAAACGATATGACAAATTATTTAGTAGACGCTATTCATAAACTTGTGTCTTTTGGCAAAATATAATTTCAAGACATTTAAATTTTTATTTGACCATGCGATGTGATCACTTGCACCTGTGTGAATCAACAAGTGCTATTAGTGTCCATTTAAATTTCTCTTGGCGCAAAGGATACAACCCTTTATTGAGTGAACGCCATTTTAGCTGTTTCATTATGGCATTTTATTGGCTTAGATTGTTGATATGTTGATTGTGGAAATGATCTAATTAACAAAGGCTTTGGCTAGCGGGTTTAGATTCTGTTTGTTGCTTATGGAGGTTTTTTAAATTTGTGCTATTTCCTTTTGTCTCTCATCTATCTACTTCTTAACTATCATGCGTAGGATTTCATATCTCCAAGATGCCATATAAGGGTTCGGTCGCTGTTTGATGTGCATTCTGTTTGTGTAAATATTTTCCACTGCTTATCATCAGCTTTAAATGACTTCAAATTATGATACAACGCCGGTGAGATTGCTCGGTCATGGTAGCGCCAGTTGTTTTGCAGATCAGTGACCCATATCTTTGGCACTTCCTGTTCTACATGCTTGAAAGAGAAAAATGATAGCACTTTTGAAGCTTTGGTATTTCTTCAATGGTGGAAAGCGTTGTGTGTGATGCTTAGTAATGCTATGTGGATAGTCTTAAAAGTTTAACGTATGGTATAGATACACAAAAATGGGTTCTGCAGGTGCTGTGTCTGAAATTGATGAAGAGGTACAGGAACAGGTTTATCATTTGAGCAAATGCAACAAATATATTAGTAAGTTGAAAGAAGACGAGTCTGATGAGAGTTTTCTTCGACTCCCTGGGAATGATCTTACTAGGCGGTCTGCCGGGGCTTTGGGCCCTTCTCGCCAGAAAGCCGTGGATTTGCTTAAAAAATGTACTTTAAAGAAAGGAGTTGCGATCCCTCATGTGTACAGAGAAGAAATTTCTGAAGCACTAACTTTGAAACAAGCTTTGAGAAGGTTATGCATATCTCATGCTGCAGAAATGGCAGCTATTAAGAGGTTGTCATTGCCACATAAATCTTCCAGTGCCTGTGATGTTGAAACTATTAAAAAGTTGTATGCTTCTGTTGTGCTCCATGCCAAGGAGACTGTTCCTTCTGCAGAAGTGAGACAAAATGTGATGGAACCACCTGTAGTTCCTGATAGAAATGATAGTTATCCTTCAGAGAATATGAGCAATGTATGTTCTGCTCAAAATGTAGAACCATCTCACTGTTCTGCAACTTCAATTATAGGTAAGGAGCTGACAGAATCTGCAGAAAGTTCTTCGGGCGTAGAAGTGATTAGAATAAAAGGAAAGGTTTTGCCCAAAACATTCACATTTGATTATCAAGTTAATGCTGAGTTAAGCAAGGTGATCAGCATGGGATCGCGACTGAAAAAACCGGTGTTGAAGAGAAAATGTTTCAATAGAAGGAATTCAAAGCAGGCACATGATGGAAAATGTCGTTTTGTAAAATCCAATGAAACCAAAATATCTTGTTCTTCCCCTGGTAAAATCAAGATGAGTTACCTAAAAGATTCTGTTTCTCCTTCATGTAGTAATACAAATTCTGATGTGCCCATCAAAACCACAGAAAATAACAAAGGTGAGGACAAACTGGATGCTGACAAAGCTAGCTGCAATAATGATAAACCAAATGGTTTAAAAGTAATTGAAACTTGTAGATCAAGGGAAAAGGGTGAGTGCTCCCAGAGTTCAAAAAGTAGCATTGGAGATTACAGCAGCAGCACTACCATAAGTGATGACAGACATCACATTATCACAGATAGAAATGGCAGTAGGCCCCATATGTCCAAGGACGTGAAATGGATCGCAGTCTGCAATGCTGCGCAGAAACACGTGGGTTTAGATTTAAAGAACTTTTTTTTACACAAGAAGCTTGGCTGTGGAGATATTGGAACTGTTTATCTCGCTCAGTTAAGAGGTTCTGATTGCTTATACGCCCTGAAAGTTGTGGATACTGAGTTTCTTGTTAGTAGAAAGAAGCTTTTGAGAGCACAAACAGAAAGAGAGATACTTCAAATGCTTGATCATCCATTTCTTCCAACCTTATATGCCCATTTCACCTCTGATAATCTTTCTTGTCTAGTCATGGAATATTGTCCTGGTGGTGATCTTCATGTTCTTCGACAGAAACAAGTAGGCAGGTTCTTTTCTGAGCCAGCTGCTAGGTATGTAGCTTCAACAGAGTACTTTATACACCCATCCATTTTAGTATTTATTCAATTATTCTAAGAAAAAAAGCCGTGATTCGCGGTCTTTTATATTAGCTTCATAAATCTATAATATGCATATTTTGTCAATTCAAGCAAAAAAAAAAAAAAAGAATGAGCTTAGTCATGTTCTTCTCCCTTTCACTCTTGGTAGAAGTTCTTATATATTTTGTTCACTCACATATGCATATCATTCATCCTCTGAATCAATTCTATAAGTATGACATCACATAAGTGTGAATGAAGGGGTTTGATGGATTATGCTAATATGAAAGTGATATAAAATAATTAGGAATATAAATGTATCACTTAATCAAGATTAGCTTAATCCCTAATAGACCACTAACTAAACTTAATCAAAAAGTCATGAAAGATCTAAGGTGTATGTGTGCATGAATTTGCAGGTAAGTTACCAATATGACTTTTAAGCACAATACAAATGATATACTCTACTACAAACACTATGTTTCGCTTAGAAAGGTAACATAAAGCCACTCAAAAAGTGTCTACACACAAAGAGATATGGTTATTATAAAGATTTATGTTATAAATAAGAATAACAAACTTTTGAGCACAACATGAATGATTTACTCTATATAAGTGTACAAGAACCTAAATCAAGAAAATTGTCACAAGAACATTAAAGATGAATGTGTAAGGAATGCAAACTAAGCTATTGAGGTTTGGACATAAATATTTTTGCGTGGTTTGACACCACACCAGCTTACGTCCACCCCTAAATACTCTTTAGGATTTCACTAAGTATATTCTTATGGTGGAGAAGCCCTATTTTTCTCAGTGAAGTTGCTTTCACACCTAATATACTCTCCTACACCCACTTTACACTTAGTATAATCACAACTCCCCTCATAACTGGCGAGGCAAATCCAAATTTCTAAACACAAGATTTAGATTACCTTTTTAAATTTCTCTTAAGCTTTGGTGGTGTACAAGGCTAACACAAACTAATATAACCTTACATAATCTCTGCACAAAATATATTGCAAAATATACTAGAAAGCGTTATATAAAATTCTTTAGAGATTAAGAGAGAGTTGCCCTCAAGGATTCTCTTATTTAATGATACTTGATTTCTTCTCTATGTTGCTCAAAATGATTTTACAATAAAGTTCGCAATGGTTTCTGAAGTCCACAAAAATTTCTCCTCATTATATACACTATAAGATAATGGTGAGACCTACAATGCTTTATGGCGCAAAATGTTGGCCACTAAAAGAGAAGCATAAAATTAATTCAAGTATTGTGGAGATGAGGATGCTTAGGTGGATGAGTGCTTTACGCTTAGAGACAAAATGTGAAACGAGTATATACCTAAAAAAGTTTGGAGTAGCTCCAGTGGCAGATAATATTAGAGAGAGTTGCCTTAGATTGTTTAGTCACATTAAAGGTCAGCCTTTCGAAGTCCTGATTAGAGAAAATATATACTAGATTTGAGCTATGTTAATAAATATAGTGGTAGACCTAAAAATACTTGGTTAGATAGTATTAGAAATGTCTTTTTTTTATTAGAATTAATTAAAAATTTGACTCTTAATACGACATAATGGAGAAATAGGATTCATATAGCCGACCCCATTAGTGGTATAAATGCTTGATGTTGTTGCTGTTGTATATACACTATATGTTGGTGAGGGAGAGAGAGAGAAAGCATTCCAAAAAATATTTCAAAAATAATACCAATGGGATTGTGGCAAGATTGGAATTTCCGATTGTAACCTATTGGAATGTTACAATAAGCACCATATGACACAAGGGTGACGGCGGGGTTTGGTAAACATTAAGAAAAAAAATATTAATAACTTAATCAATTTAAATCCTGACTTTATATGAATTATTGATGAAATTTTATGCATACAAAATGAATTCAATGGAATTAATATTACGGCCAAATTACTTAAGTCTTTTATAATTACCTAAATAATCATAATTAAGACCTTCTTAACCTAATTAGGCAATTTTAATGAAAGAATTAAAAATTAATTATTTGAACTTGCTAGGATCAATGTTTAAAATTACGTAATTGGGTATTGAGGCATTCGTGAGGCAAAGCATAAGCCTCAAAATGAGAAAATTGTGTGAAGTCAAAATGATAAATTTTTTATATACTAATGTAATTATATATTAAAAGTTGATATAAGAAATAAATTGTCATATATATAAAATATAAAAAAAGCACAAGATATGAAGTGTTAAGTAATAAGTTGTTTGAAATTAAATTGAAATATAAATATCACAATAATAAGACAATATAAAACATAGTTTAACTCAAAATTCTATTTTTCCCAAATCCTAATATCTTGTTCATTAACATGTAATTCAAAAAATAAATAGTAATAACATAACAACTCAGAAGTCATTAGCACTGTCATCACTAAGGGGGTCTTCATTTCAATCATTATTTTGATGAACTTCTGTCTCCTCTGCCTCATCTCCTATGGAGTTCAATGTCTCCCAACAGCTTCTTTTTCCTCTATATCAGTCATCTTACTCTTTCCTAAATATTTTTTTAACAATATGAAGATGAGTAATACATCAATAAAAGTAAAGTTTAAGAAAACTATGTTATTTATATACCTTTTTTGGTTTGTTCTTTGGTTGTGATGGATGTAAATGCTTTATGGCTATCAAAGAAATCAACATTCAAATTTTCATCTCGTAATTCATACGGCATTACCATCTTTTTATCATCTACAAATCACCTTTATCAGATGCCATATCCTCACAAATCAAAGGATCTTCGTCATCCTTTAACCTTTTTTTTCAATTTCATGTCTTTGAGTCTCCTATTTTATATAATGTACACTAACGAAGTCATCCTCAACATTGACAGATAATTTCTCCTCTTTGTATGCACTTGATTCTAGGTACTCCAATTTCGCTGACATCCAGATAAAAAGCACGTTAATCCCAAAACTTTCACAGCAAAATATTGTAATTCTGGAGTGACATCACCAAATTGAATCCGCCACTCAACTAAGATTTACATAAATGAATATAATCAGTACTCAAAAAATGACTTTTAAATAAATGAGCAAAACAACAAATAAAATTACCTGTAGATCAATTGGAAATAGTGCCCTTTTCCTGTTGTAATCCAAAAAATATTCTTTATTCCTAAAATGTACCAATTTCATGTTAGCATTTGAGGTGAGATATACTAAAATCCTTTCCACTCCAGGCTTCCTTTGGTAACACATCATTCAAAGGAATTGAAGGATCACGATTGATTAGATAAACTGCAGTATTCACTGTCTCTGCCCAGAGCTGCTTAGGTAGACTAGCATGTAACCTCATGATTATGGCATGTTCAATGATAGTTCTATTCATGCGTTCTACAACACCATTCTGTTGTGGTGTTCCTGGAACAAAGAACTCATGCATGATCTCATTCAAAACACATTACTCCTTGAACTTCTTGACACGATACTCGTCACCATTATCTGATTTGAGACACTTGAGCTTCAAACCTGTGTCAAGCTTAACCATGACCTTCCACTTCTTAAAAGCATCAAACACATTTGACTTGTGTTTTAAGAAGTACACCCATACCTTCCTATTGTGATCATTAATAAATATGACAAAATACGAAAATCCTCTTATAGAAGTTACTGGAGTAGGACTTCATACATCAGTATGCACTAACTTCAACTTCTTTGACTTGATTTGAACTAGTATTTGAAAAACTCACCCTATATTGCTTGCCATATACACAGTTCACAAAAATATAAATCTATAGATTTTAATTCATGAAACTTTCCTCTAATAAGAAATGAATATATATCTTTCTTACTCATATGACCAAGCCTTCGATGCCAAAGACCCCCATCAATATTTAAATCTGCTACTCCAATAGAATATGTTCTTCTATTGATAACATACATGATGCCTTCAATACTGACACGAGCTATAACCATAGCCCCTTATGTCACCTTCTACGTATCTCCTATGAATGATGTCACATGGTCTGAGTTTGCAAGTTGACTCACAGAAACTAAACTCCTCTTCAGACAAGGAATGTGCTTAATATTCTTGAGTCTCCAAATCGACCCATCTGACATTCTGATATCAACTTCTCCATGTCCAATAATGTTGCAGAGCTTGTTGTCCCCGAGATATACTTTACCCAAATCACGTTGGGTATAGTTCTTGAATGCCTCTTTATTAAGATTGGCATGAAAAGAATCACCTGAATCTATCACCCAAGATTAAGAATTGTCTAGAGATAAAGTCAGAGAATCTGACTGACATTCTTCTGCAGATACATTTGTATAATGATTTTTGTCTTGACCTCCACCACTGCCCTTCTTTGGAACTGTATAATCCTTCAAGTGACCATTCTTTCCACAGCTCTAACACAACTTTTCCTCTACCTGAAGTAGACTTTCCTCTCCTGGATTTAAATCTCCCTCTACTAGGATTTCTCTCTAAACCCCTTCCTCTAGCTTCAACATTTAGAGCAAAATTTGAAGATTCACCATTCGCCCTCTTGCAAACCTCTTCATTAAGCACTAAACTCATAATGTCCTCAAAGTTCAGCTTTCAACTTCTTAAGAGTTACTTACAGGAGTAACAATCCCATCCCAACTTTCTGACTATGAAGATAACAATAATGTCCTCACCTCATCATCAAAATTAATGCCAACTGAGCACAATTAACTCATCACAGTGTTCAGATTATTCAGGTGTTCTGCCATTAGGGTGTTGTCCAACATCTTTATATTGAATAACTTCTTCATCAAGAATACTTTGTTTGAGGTCAATGGCTTCTCATACATCTTTGTCAGTGTGACTATGAGATCGACTGTAGTCTTCTCTTTTACAATGTTAAATGCAACAAATAAGGAAAGTGAAAGTCGTAACAAACCTAGTGTAGTCCGGTCAAGAATCTCCCACTCTTCCATAGTCATAGAATCTGGCTTGGTGATTCCTTCCAATGACAAATATAACTTTTTCTGATATAACAAATGTTTACTTTGCATCATCCAGAATGCGAAGTTCGAACCATTGAACTTTTCAATCTTGTACATTGCTTCGTCTGCCATTACTCCCACTCAAATTGAATAACCTCGTTCTGATACCAGTTGTTGGGGATGAGGAGTAAACACCACAATGACAAAACATGCAAAAAGTAAAAATAATGGAAAATAAAGGACATCTGGATTTAAAGTTGGAAAAATCAAAATAGGGAAAAAAAATCACTGAGCTGCACAACACCAAGAAATCTACTATGAAAATCGGTAGAAATAAGTATAGATCTCTTTTCTTTCTCACTCTCTCCTTCTCTTCTCACATGCACTATTCTCAATATTTTTCTCACTCAAAATACAAGATAAAGCCATGTAAATAATACCAAGAGACGTAACCCTTTAGAAAAAATGAGAAAGAAAAACTGTCTAGTCCGTCTCGCAGCTCTGCGATGCCATTTTAGGGCGCTGCTATGCTCAAACCTTTATCTTGATCCTCTGCACACTATATCTAGATCGTTGTGGTGCTCCGCTCTCAGTCGTTCAGTACTGGGGCTTTCGAATACACAACACCAGAACCCAAGTAGGGGGTAAACCTCTTCATCAAGCACTAACCCCATAATGTCCTCAAAGTTCAGCTTTTAACTTCTTAAGAGTTACTCACAAGAGTAACAAGCTCATCTCAGCTTTTTGGCAATAAAGATAACAACAACAATGCCCTCACCTCATCATTAAAATTGATGTCAACTGAATACAATTGACTCATCACAGTGTTATGATTATTCAGGTGTTCTGCCATTAATGTGTTGTCCAACATCTTTATATTGAATAACTTCTTCATCAAGAATACTTTGTTTGAGGTTGATGGCTTCTCATACATATTAGTTATTGCGGCCATGAGATCAACTGTAGTCTTCTCATTTACAATGTTGAATGCAACAAATGAGGAAAGTGAATACAATTGACTCATCACAGTGTTAAGATTATTCAGGTGTTCTGCCAATTTACCTCATCATTAAAATTGATGTCAACTGAATACAATTGACTCATCACAGTGTTAAGATTATTCAGGTGTTCTGCCATTAATGTGTTGTCCAACATCTTTATATTGAATAACTTCTTCATCAAGAATACTTTGTTTGAGGTTGATGGCTTCTCATACATATTAGTTATTGCGGCCATGAGATCAACTGTAGTCTTCTCATTTACAATGTTGAATGCAACAAATGAGGAAAGTGAAAGTCGTATCAAATCTAGTGCAGTCTGATCAAGAATCTCCCACTCCATAGTCATAGAATCCGGCTTGGTGATTCCTTTCAACGACAAATATAACTTATTCTGATACAACAAATCTTTAATTTTCATTCTCCAAAATGCGAAGTTTGTACCATTGAACTTTTCAATCTTGTACATTGCTTCGTCTGCCATTTCTCCTACTCGAACTGAATAACCTCACTCTGATTCCAGTTTTTGGGGATGAGGAGTAAATACCCCAATGAAGAAACAAGCAAAAAGTTAAAAAAAATGAAAAAAAAATAAATAAATAAAGGACACCAGGATTTAAAGTTAGAAAAATCAAAATGGGTAAATAAACCACGAAGCCACACAACACAAAAAAATACTTTGAAAATTGGGAGAAATAAGTACATGTCTCTTTTCTTTCTCACTCTCTCCTTGCTTCTCTTATCGCATGCACCTTTCTAAATGTTTTTATCACTCAAAATACAAGAGAAAGCCAAGTAAATAACCTCAAGGGACGCAACCCTTCAGGAAAAGCAAGAAAGAAAACCGTCCAGTCCATCTCGCAGCACTGCGGTGCCAGTTTACGACGCTCAAACCTCTGTCTTGATCCATTGCGACACTATATCTATATCGTTGTGGTGCTCCGCTCTCAGTCGTTCAGTGCTGGGGCGCTCGTGTACAGAGCACCAAAACTCAAGGGGAACCCCCCCCCCCCCCCCCCCCCCCCCCCCCAAGCACAAAAAACTTGAGATCCGAGACAACAAAATAACATGATTGATCAACACAATCAGATTCCACACATAACACTCATGCCATATTTTTCTCCTAAAAAACACAGGCTCAATACACAAAATGTTTTTCATAAAAGCAAGAACGAAAAAGGAAAACTAGCAATTTTGTAGAAGTTTATAAGGATCTTTGATGGTTGGTTTATAGCACACTTAGCCGGATTGATTGGGTATTTGATAATTTTTCTAACATGAGCCCAATTCACAAGAGAGCGAACAATGTATGTGAGCAAGAGATGATTAAGATGTGAACACTAGCAACCAATCACAACAATGAGTTCAAATTAAGTTAAACTTGAACTAAACTTCTCACATATTTTTCCCCAATGGCGTATGCTTCACAGGTAACATAATGATTCTATTAAGTTAAACCATTTAAAATTTTCATATTGAGATGCAGTAGAAAATCCTAATGTGAGATCTGATATGCATTGCAGCAAGTTTGATCTCTCTTTAGTTCTAAAAGGTGCTTTAAGTGGCAATGATAACTTAAGATTCAGATTACAATTTTAAATTCATGAGATTTATAAAAAAGGCCGTTAACGTCTCAACCATTTCACAGGTTTTATGTTGCTGAGGTTCTTCTTGCTTTGGAATATCTACATTTGCTAGGTGTTATCTACCGAGATCTCAAACCAGAAAACGTCCTGATTCGGGAAGATGGCCACATTATGCTCACTGATTTTGACCTCTCTCTTAGGTGCACAGTCAATCCAACTCTCTTCAGGTCCTCATCATTGAGCAAACCAGAGACCGTAAAGCGGCGATCGGTACCTTGTGCTGAAGCCAACTGCTTGGACCCTCTCTGCCTACAGCCATCTTGGGCTCCCGTTGCCTGCTTCAGGGCTCATTTATCATCCACCATGCCAAGTAACAGGAAGCTTAAATCAGATTTGGCTGGACAAGTTTTCCCACTTCCACAACTTGTCTTTGAGCCCACTGATGCCCGTTCAAACTCTTTTGTTGGAACCCATGAGTACTTGGCACCAGAGATAATCAAGGGCAAAGGACATGGCAGCTCTGTGGATTGGTGGACCTATGGGATCTTTTTGTATGAGTTACTGTTCAGTAAGACACCTTTTAAGGGCTCTAGTAATGAAGAGACCTTGACCAATGCAGTCATCCAAACCGTTAAGTTCCCTGATTCTCCCTCTGTTAGCTTTCATGCCAAAGATTTAATTAGAGCTCTTCTTGTAAAAGAACCTGATAGCAGGCTTGGTTCTGCCAGAGGGGCTACTGAAATCAAGCAACATCCATTCTTTGAAGGTATTAACTGGGCCTTAATCCGTTGCTCCGAACCGCCTGAGACGTCGAGAAGCCACGAAGCGAGAGCTCCGGCGGTTTCGAGCACCAGCGGGGAGAGAAAATGTTTGGATTTCAGGCACACTGCAGATCATTCGGAGTATGAAACTTTCTAAAAGTTCTTTTTTTCTTTCTTTGAAGAGGGGTTGAATTTGTTTTCATAACAGTTTGATGTTGCAACTTGTGGAATTTCTCTGTAGATATGTTCAGCAAGCTTCTGCTCCTTGGTAATGATATATTGTGGTTTCAGTGAACAAATACCAGCCAGCTTTTGTTCAAGAAGTATTGGCTTTGTAAACAAATTGTTCTGCTATAGTTGAGAATTGAGACATTGTGATAATTTTCCTTTCTAATAGAAAGAGGTGTAGTAATATTTAGATGGGGCTCATATTTGTGCATACACTTCTATACAGTAGCCTGAAGTCAGTAAGCCAAAATAGGCTAGTATTGAATATGGTAGTTTGATCAAATTTTGCTTTTCAAAATTGATTAAGACTTCATTTGGTATGACTTTCTTACTGCTTAAAATAAATTTTTAGTATACAAATTTTCATTTTTAAATTAGAAAGTTGTTTTAAGAAGAAATAAAAAAACTGTCCCAAACTAAGGCTTCGTTTGTGACAACTTTCTTACTGTTTTGTTTTTTCGAAAGTAATCATAATTTTGTTTGGCTGTTGATTTTTCACTACATTCAAAAAAAATTTATGATAGGAAACTGCTTTTTATAACAGAGTTATTTTTTTCTTAGCAGTTTTACAATGACCTTTACAAAAAACTATAACAACAAAAAAATATTTCCTTAACAACTTTAAAAAAAGTTGATTTTCTTTTTAATTTTGATTTTGAGTCTATAACAATGCTAGGTTTGATTGAAATTGAGTTTAATAAAATTTTGACGCAATTATGAATGTTCGCAGGTACTGATTATTTTAATCAATCTTATCTCAATGATGTTAGAAAGATCTGCTTATCTAGATGATTAAGATTAAATAGATGATTATTATATAAATTTTGTCTAATCTTGTGCCTTGAAGTTGTATGTTCTAAAAGCCAAAGCTATGTGCTAAGCCTTATTATAAGGACACTTAAGATGATAAAGCTAAGATTTCTTGTGTAGGTTTAGGGTTGATCTTTACTAATTGATGGATTGATGTAACTAAAAAGAGATGAAATTATAGTTAGTAAATAATTAGTATAGTTTAAGGCTTCATTAGTGATAGTTTTTTTATTGCTTTTTAAAATAGAGTTTTAGTAAAAAATTTAAATTTTTTTATTAAAATTCTATTTTAAGAAGCAATAAAAAACTATCTCAAACGAAACTTAAGTTTATGAGGGGCTTCTTGATTGAGATCTTCATTATTTCTCTCTCACCATCCACATAACGCCAAAGAGAATTCTCATTATCACTTGAGAGAAGAAATTTACATAGTGCGATAGGAAGAACTGTAACACCTATTGAATTAGGATACAATTACACATCGTCTAATTCGATTTGAAAGAGGTAACTAACTGAATTTTTGCATTTGAACCCATATGCATGTGTGTGAGAATATTTTGAATGCATGTGAAAGCCTACATGTGTTTTAAAGCAAGTCCCGGTGGCATGTGTGTTTGTTTGTGAAATATAGAATTTTCTCCTTAGGCTTTGCAGTAGCCAGCATAAAGACACTGAGCTCTCTGAAATTTTGGAAATTAATTCATGCTGTAGTGCTAAGGGTGGCGCTGTAGTGCTATGGGCTTTTAGTGGGAGCGCTGCAACACATACAAATGGGTGTTGTGATGCTCAACCAAAATTTCATATTAAAAACATCATTTTCCATTAAACCATTAGAGAGAGAGAGAGAGAGAAATTTGGGAGACTGTTCTATTTTCAATTGTTGGCTCAGCTTTAAAAATTCAGCTCAAGGTAGGTTGCATTTTGCCTATCAGTTTAAAAAAAAAATGAAAATAATGAAAATTTTCAAATTCTTGATTTAGTTTATAATTCCGTTAGTAAAAAATGGGAATAACTTGATATTTATAAAACTTTCATCATGTAACTTTCCATATTAAACATTTAGAGATCGTTTGAGGAATTTTTACTAGGTAAATTGAAAAGCAAGAGATTTTTGACAACTTAGAAAATTATTCTAGTTCAAATAATAGTGTTGTAGTATAATTAAACCTTCAAAATAATGCTTTGAATAATATCTAATAATTTTGTTATGTGCATTTATGCTCAATAATACATTCAACTATATCCTTAATGCATTTTGTTAAATTTTGTTATGAATTTTGTTAATGCTATGCAATGAATGATATATTTATTTGATTGAAATGTGCAATTTTGAAGATATCTTGTGCGGGTGGAGGAAGTTTTGTTATGATGCTAAACGTATATTCTGGTGCCAAAGATACATTATGGTGTTATACACACATTATAATATGCTAATGGGCATTAAGAGTCATAAGGATATGTTTTTTATATGCCAGCATAGGAGTCATAAGGGCTAGAATTATCAAAATTGTATTCTGAATGGAGGTAAAAGGCCTTTAAGGGAAATAAGTTATTTTCTGCTCTGATATATGAAGTGCTTATTTATTTACTTTTTGCATTACTATTTATATTTCTGATAACTGCAAACACTATTATATTTAGTACATTAACTATTATGAACTATTTTAAAACTCATCTAAATGCTTAATAAATGATTATTTGAAAATTTAGATTGATACGTATGACTTACTCAAATGTGTCTGGAAAAGAGAAGGAACCGGCTAAATAGCAAAGTCAAGATCTAATATGTCCGAGTTTGTATAGGTATTTCTCCTTTTTAATTTTATACAATCATGATTATTTATTTAAATTGTTTTGTTTTATAGTCATGTATTGTGGTGTAAATATTGTATATATATTTTGGTGAGAAGTGAAATGAAATTTGTGGATGAGCTATTTATTATATATTGTTAGTTATTAATAGCTTTGGGGTTCGTTGTTTGTTTTAAGTTCAAATTTGAAGAAGATGAAAAAAATCTAAAAGTTTTCCAAAACTTTGATCATGGGTTTGACATGTTATAAGCTAACATGATAGGACTTATTTTATCTACGGGTCATATCGGGTTGGATTGTGATAACCCTTTTTTGATATCAGAGTAATGATTTTTGGGAAATTGATCATAAAATAAAGCTATATAAATTGACGGAAATAACGCCGTAAACTTTACGTCGCATCATTCCGCCGGAACCTGCGCCGTCAATGCCGGCGCAAAAATATCCGCCGGAAATTCCGACGGTAATCGCGTGTTTTCCCGTAGTGATATGCATGTGTGTTCAGTGTTGTAATATCCGTTCTCTAAAATTCAGGTAATTATCTACTCATAACTATAATTTTAGTTGATTTAGTAATTGTGAGTATGATTCAATTGAGTGAAGTATAAAAAAATTAGGAAATGTGGGCTAACAAATTAGAAAAACCAGAAGTCAGATTTTACTCAGTGAGCAGTGCAGCACCGAGAGTTGACGCTCCGACGTCTTATTCTAAGGAAAATGAAGAATATGGTGGTTTGAGGAAAGTATTGCAGCCTTGTGGTGTTGTAATGGTGTTGGGGATGGAGTATAGGAAGTTCGTGAGAGTTTGAGAGTTTTGATGCTATGCACCTGTCTTAAATAGGTGGGATGTGGAAGATTGGGAGTTATAAGGGGCATAAGTACAAGTGCATTCTTCATTCATATGTGCATCAATATACTTAGAACTTAAACAATAAACAATGCTTTTATGATTTTGTTCAAATTATATTTTGCTATGAATTAATATTCTGTTTGGGGGAAATTGGTTATTTAAAAAAAAAGGTAAAGGTCTTGCTCAGTATGCCCAATTAGATAGAGAGCAGGAAGGCTAGGCTTTAGCATGTATATGAAATTTTATCTAGAATTTTGTAGTTCAAATTTAATTGAGTTTTGTTGAAAACATTATAAGCTAAACTATTGTAATTAATTATTTCGAGAAGAGAAGATGTGATTTGCGCACTCTGAATGTTTATTTTTTATATTATTGATGATTAGTTGTATATATATATATATATATGATAAAAGAAATCTTATAATTATAAGTAGGTTTAAATTTCTCCTTTAGATTTTAGGGTCTCATAAGTCATGTGTTCTGTGTGGTTATAATCCACAAGGCCCATATATAACAGATGGATATAGTGTTAGTTAGGTAGCACCTATATAGAATACCACTCATGTTGTTAGTTATGATACTATTTCAAAGTTTGCCAATTTTATAGCCTAGTTGATGGGTGAGGATCAAAATATGATCCATTTTGTTAGATCAGATGATGTAAACTGACACTTAAAGATGTTTTTAAGATTAAATCCATTAAGATTTGAGGGGGCTATTGAGTTCAGGGCTATAGAGGATTGGTTGATGAGTATGGAGAAGATATTTAATGGTATGAAGTGTCCTCACGAGAAGAAGGCATCTCTAGCTATTTTTCTGTTAGACGGTGAGGCAGTGCCTTGGTGGCTAGACCATTATGAGATGTTTCTGGGGAGGCCAAACTCCCTGATTAGCTGGGAAGAGTTTACTGATGTATTTTTTAGTATAATTTGTTCCAGCTTTTACATGTCAGAGATGTAGGAGACATTTTTTAAGCTTGTCCTATGGAGCAGTGTCGTTATGCAGTATGGCTAGGGGTGTAAGTGACTCAAGCTGACTCATGAGTCCGCTCGAGCTTGGCTCGATAAATGACTCATGAGTCAAGCTCAATGAGCTAAAGAGTCAAGCTTTAGCCAGGCCTAACTCTACTCGTTAACTCACTTTCTTATATTTAATGATTTTTATAATTATTTTTCTTTTAATTACTCATTCATTTTATCATTATATTATAACAATTACTTGAATCATAATAATTTTCTCTCTTTCATAATAAACAATTCAGTTCATGAGCCATTCAAAGTCATAAAATAAAGCTCAAGCTCAAACTTGTTTAATTAATTAAGCTCAAGCTCAAGCTAGAGGTGACTTGAGATCAACTCGACTCGTATGAGGCTGAGTTTACTGTATTGGCTAGATACACTTCATATTGGTTAACACTCCATAGGAGAAGTACTACAACTTTATAAGTGAACTCTGAGAAAATATGAGACAACCATTGCTTCTGTTTCATATTTCTGATTTCTCTGAGTTGGTAGTGCGAGCTCATTTGATAGCTACTCACCAGCAGTATACTAATGGTAGAAACTGATTTGGTGATGAGACTTCTAGCAGTGTCTTTTCTAGGAATATGAATAGGAATAAGGTTTGACTCCTTGAGTCCAGGAGAGGAGGACATATGTTTCTATGGTAATGTTTGACAGTGGCAGTATGGCTGATTATGATTCTATTAGTGGGGCACATATATGTTGTA